AGATGTCACTGCCACCCAAAACCAACAGCTCAGCTGAGTCTGAGGGCCATGGACCAGGAGCCCAGCCCCCAGGGCAGGTAGGATGGACTCCTCTTGCTCTCAGGACTGTCTGGAGGCCCAACAGGATAAGTGAATGGAGAGCACAAGAGCAAAAAGCAAGGCATCCCACACTTCATGTCTTGACTCCACTTTGAGTACTCCTCAGCCCCTCTCTGGAGATGGGGATGAGAAGAAATCAGAAGGTCCAAATGCTGAATGGGATTGAGAAGCTGGTTCTTATTGGGATAAGCTAGACAGGCTGCCCATGTGCAGGAAGAGATAAGGCGCCCTAACAGAATGATGCCCGCCCCCTCCCCCACAAAATGACAGGCAGTCACTTTAGAGTGGGTACCATTTCTTTAGTTAAGATGCCCAAAGCAGCAGGGTACCAAGGTGGGCTGGGGGCAGGGGTAAGGGTGGGAATGAAAGCAGTAAGCCCCAGGACAGGCAACAAGGGGGTGTACTACCTGTGGAGGCTGAATAATAAAACGGGCTTGGTCTGCTTTTATCATCCCGTGATAGCAATTCTCAACAATACCTGTGATAAAAGGCTCCTCCCCCAAGGGCTGCCAGCTCCCATCACCCAGTCCTCGGATGCCCGAGCCCAACGGGAACTAGCCTGCAGCAACATCACCCAAAGCTCGGGCCTCAAAAACTTTAGTTGCAGGACTTTACTCCCCACGCCCCAACCCTCACAAAAAACCCTAATGTAAAACGGAGCAGCAGGTATAGCGTGTGGTTAAGGGCAAATTCTGGGTTCAAATCCCAAATTATCTACTTACTAGCTACATGATAGCTTTAAAAGATGTTATTTAATTGAGAGAACGCACGCACACATACGCACACACACGCACACACAAGCTGGGGGCGGGGGGCAGGGAGCAGAGGGAGAAGGAGAGAATCCCGAGCTGACTCCATGCCAAGCACGGAGGCTGACATGGCACTTGATCTGAGGACCCTGAGATCATGACCTGATCTGGACACCCAGCCAACTGAGCCACCCAGGGCCCCTACATCAAAGTTATTTAAACTTTTGGTCTCAGATTCCTCATTCATAACATGGTGATGACAATAAAGTAAGCAATTCACAGTGCTGCTGTGAAAGTTCAAGGAGGTAAAATGGTCAGGTACTAAGAATAATGCCCAGCACGAATGCTGGGCATGCCCACTAATATCAGGACAGCCTCTCTATTAGGCTATTTGAGCAGAGGGGTCACATCCACAACAACCCCAGCCTATAGGAGATGCCTGAGCCTACCTGCCGGGGCTCTGTCTCCAGATAAATGCCCAGAACAGAAGCCTGCCTTCACTCATACAAACAAATAATAAAAAGCTTACAGATAGAGCATCAAGATGTCCCGGATTCTGTCAAAGGTTTTTGATGGCAGAGAAAAAGGGAAGTGGCTGAGTCACATGCTGGACCCCAGAATTCCTTCACCTTCATCTGGAGTGCTAACCCTGGCCCATCCTGCCAGGGATGTGGCTGGCTCCTCAGAGACCTCTAGAGGACACACGACAGACCCAGGGATGCCAGGCTTGCAAGCAGCCACACTGGCGCAGATCCATTGGATGCAACAGACCAGCAAAGATGGAGCGGGAGGACAGGAGAGGCCAAGACCCTCAGGTCAAGCTGTAGCTTCTTTGGCTGCCTTTCTACAGTTTACCATTAGGCTGGCAAAAAAATACTTCTTTAACTCTTAGAAACTTGAACTCCTACCACCCCAAGATTCCAAATACTACGCTCCCTTCAGCTCTGCCGCCCCCCACGCAGTGAATACTGTAACTTAGTTTCATCGTGTATTATGAAAGTCTCCTTTTTCAAAATAGAATGCTTTCAAACCACATGTACCCCTCCCCAGAAACACTGTAACTCTCTAGCCAGCCCTAAAGAATCAGAAAGGCATGCTTGGGTCTGGGGTTCCAAAGCATCAGAGGCAATCCTGCCCTGTGCTACAGTCTCACCATACTTTCTGGAGCTCCCAGCACCAGCCATGACCCACCTGGGTTAAGGCATAGCCTCTAGATCGAAAGGGACACTTCGCTCTTCCCCTGCAGACCTTCTCCTTAATTCATCGCCCTCCTCCTTAGCTTTCAAATGGTACCATAGCTTCTAACACATCTCCTTTCCAAATGGCAGAAAATGCCCATTTCCCCCAAGCCCTGCGTGATCTTGGACTCTTCCTAATGTGGCCCCCAGGAAGGCTGCAGCCTAGCACACTCCAGGTACTCCTGCGGTTCCACAATCCACCTCTCCCTCTGACATCTACTATGTGCTCTTCTTGGAACACTTTCTGACCAGCACAGGCTTCCCAACCTCCTAACCTGGCCACATCTCAGGAAGGGCTGATCTCTACCTTCTCAGGGGCACCACGGCATCACTTGCTGATATTCCCTTATTTTACCTACCGTTGCATTTAACCTCCCGTCCCCTTCTCCTTCTTACCTTCTAGTCTGTGACCTTGAACCTGTAATCCTGCTCCCTGGACCAGTAAAGGAACCTAATGCCTGTGATAGGAATAAAGCCCCCAGGCATAAGGTGGTCGAGCAGGGGAAGTCAAGGCTACACAAAGGAGCAGCCCTACTGATACCCCCTTCTGGAACCATGACAACATACCCCTTTCTCCAGCCACCTAACACCTTTAGGAATTGAGGTCTTCTGGTGGGCAAGAAGGATTCCTTGGTTTTCCAGGTTTGCTTTACCTAATCTCCAAGAGCCAGCCTGGCTCAGCCATGAGAGTAAACTACCCCAGCTAACAGAAATTCCCCAGATGGTGGCTCCTGGGGGATGCAGAAATGACTGCCTAGGGGGCAGCTAAGCTAAAGGGAAGGAATTCAGTTCCAGCTCAAACCACCAATTAGACAAGGAACCTCAGCAGAAGAGCTCTTGGCCCAGAAGTCTAATGAGGAGAGGGGGATCATCCTTGCACTTACCTGACCAGAGCAGACACCGGAATCCAGGAGATTCCCAGAACTTTAATTTTAGAACTCTGTTACACACAGGCCTGTGCCCCTCCATCAGCACCAGGTGCGCTGATTCCCTTAACCACTACGGTGTTGTCACCCACCTCTGCCCCCAAGGAGGAGTCACAGGGATTCCACTTCTTGAAGATTCTGCCTTCTCTCTCAGAAAAAGCACTTAGAAAAAAGTGGCCAATACTTCACATGCTTTCTCTAAGAATTTAGCTTGGCCACAAGGTTCACCCATCCCACTTCAAAGGGGTAGGTCTGAGGGTCAGCCCAGACTCTTGGGTGAACTCCCTGCTGAAGTCAACCATCTAGCACTAGTAGCCTTCTGGGTCTTAGCCCAGCTTCACAGGAGGCCAAGCAGAGATCCCATACACACCAGCAACCCTGTCACTCTCCCCTCAACTCTCAGGGGAGATTCTGAACAACCAGGTACAGTTAGGATGGGGTTAAGGTTCCCACCAGAGCCATGGGCCTGTCAGCATGTCAAGGTCTGAGGAGGACAAGGCCTTCAGGAGCCAACCCCCATCCCTTGCACTGGAGCCCACACAACCCCAGCGGACAAATGTCAGGCCCTCCCTTGTCATCCTTCTGTGTGAAGTTATATATTCCCCACCCCTTCCCCCCAAAAAGTGAGATCTAGACCTAGATTCTCAAGATGCCATGCCATTGGTGGACTCGGACTAGCAGCAACCCTCTGAATTACTAAGAGTGGGTGCTGGTGGTGTGACCCTCCCACCCTCCCTCCCACAGTGAGGAGCCCAGCCCAGCACTGGGCCACCCGCCGCCATTCTGCACCAAACCTACAGCACGGCCCGCCAGCACCACGGCCACAGCACTGGAGGGAGGCAGCAGCACCAGCCCCCATCAGGGGCTCTGCGGTTTCTACCCCCAGACCAAGGGGAAAGGAGCTCAGGGTGGATAACTGGCCCTTGGTTTCCTGGGCAAGGGCTTTCCAGGGCGCGGCAGGAAGGGTCTCTCAGCCCTGGAGTGACACAGCTTGCCAGAGGCCCTTGGAAACAGCTGCAAAGCCTGCCCCTTCCACACCACTTTTTGTCTCAGCCCGCCCAGGTCCTGGTCTCCATTCGCTGCCCGTAGCTCTCAGGCTTATATCCACCACCTCACACCCCACCCCACCCCACCCCACCCCCCGCCCACAAACACCCTCCCGGATTTGGCCATCCCATTAACCACCCAGCTATTGCTGATTCCACGAAGCCGCCTCACAAGCCCTCCTCTTAGCACATGTCTGGTGGTCAAGATAATGTCGCCTCTCCTTGCAGAATCCCACCCAGGCCAGCTCTGGGGTTCCGGATTGCCTGCCTGGATTGCCTACCGAAGGGAGGAGAACCGGGAAAGAAGTATCTTCAGGCATCTCTTTCTCAACTCTCACTAACCACCCGCCGACCTCTTTGCCAAAGCCCAAGTTCTGGGGCTGCAAGGAAAGTCCGTCCACCCCCCCGTGACTACAGCTCAGTTGTAGTGAAACCAAAGCGCGGGGCGGCCGGCCCGGGCCTCCAAGGTCACGGGGAGGGGTCAGGGTGGAAAGTGTAAGGCAGTGAGGGTGACGCCCGCCCGCGGTCCTAATCCCGTTTAGTTCCTTCCAGCGGAGGCGGGAGTCCCGGCCATACCGGAGGAGCGCCTCGGAAGGCTGTAGCGGGCCGGCCCGAGAGTGGAGAACGAGGGACGCGCGGGCAGCGGGCGTGGGGCAGGCACCGCGCCGCTCGCCCACCACGGGACGCACGGACGGCGGGCGGCGCGCGGCCCGCCCCGAGCCCGGGAGGGCGGGGAGACAATGCCCGCCCGGCGGGGCAGTCCAGGCCGCGCGCCCCCGCCCGCCGGACACGGGCTGCTCCTCCCTGACCGAAGGGCAGCGGCGGGAAGGCGCCCGGAGCGCTTGCCAGACCGGCCCAGCGCGGCGCGGGAGGCCCAGCGCGCCCTCTCCCCCGCCCACCTCCGCGTGCACTTCACCCCAAGTCCCGGGGCCGCAGACCCACCTCCTCCTCCAGAGTGCCGCCGGAGCCCGTGCCGGTGCCCGTGCCGGTGCCGGTGCTGGTGCTGTGCTCGCCGTCCGGCTTCAGGTTGCTCATGGTGCGGGGGGTGAGGTGGGGGTGGCGAGGGGAAGGGAACGCTGAGGGCGAGCACGACGCCCGGCCCCGGCGGGGAGGTGGGAAGGGGCGCGGTGAGCGGTGCGCTCCGGGAGTGCGGGGCGGGGTGGCGGTGGGGGGCGCGCGGGGCGGTGAGAGGGGCAGCCGCCGCGTCGGGCTGGGGTCACATCAAGTTTGGCGGGTGCGGGAGGTGGGGAGGGGGTGCGGCGGGGGAGGCACTCGGAACCGGAGCCGAGCCCGAGCGGCCGCCGCCTCCGCCTTTTCACTGCGACCGGCGAGTGCGCCCGCGGCGGCGGCGGCGGCGGCGGCGGCGGCGGCGGGGGGCGGGCGCCGGGGGAGGGGGCGGGCGCCGGGCGGTGGCGGGGGGCGGGGGCCGGAACCGGCCTCAGCTGGGGCCCGGCCAGCCCCCTCCCCCGCCCTCCTCGCGGTCTCCGGGGGAACGCGCAGCCAATCCTCGCCGCCCACTGAGGGCTCGCCCGGGCCGGGGCTGCAGCGCGCCAGTCTCCCGCAGGGCTTCTCCCCCTCGCCTTCGTCGTCTCTCACCCTCTCTTTCCTTTCCCCTTACCCTACTGTACGACAAGTTTTTTAAACTTTGATGAACTCGCCCAGTGAACTTTCTTAAAGGGTCCGCGCGCTCCGTGCTGTCCCAGCCCGCGGGAGGTGGAGCTGCGTGCCAGGCACCCGCGCTCGCTCGTCCCCAGCCATCCGTGGCCCGGCGGCCCCACGCTAGCGGCGCCCGAAGCGAGGCTCCTGGGTCGTCGGCTTCGGAGGAAAAGCTACCCTCGTACCCTGATTGGGGGTTACGGAGTGTACCGCGCACTCATTTCACCCCCAAATCCAGCCTCTCAGCCCCGGCCATGCTCCTGCCTTCCCCGAGCGCAGGACTGTTGGGGGTCGTCTTCTGAGGGTGATGGCGGTCGGGAGCCCGACACCTGGGGTTTGGCCCTAACTGGCCGCTGTTTTGCTGCGTGACCTTGAGGAAATCACTTCCCCTCTCTGGCGTCAGGCTTCCAGCCCAGAGGGTGGGACTTAGATCTCAAACTCCCTTCCCGCTCCTAGTCACTGAATAAGGACTCTGGGCGGGGAGACAAGTCTTTGGGACCCAAATGGTTATTAGCCCCGGGAGGGGATACCTCGAATGACCAAGATTCCATTCAGTGCCTCCTTCCTCCCAACCCCCACCTCCACCTTGGGGTCCTCTCCTCCCTCAGATTAAATACCGCCCCCCTCCACACACACCTTTTCCCTTCCTCCTATTCAGAGCTCGAGGGCGGGGGGATGGGAGAGCAGCCTTTGGGCCCGGCGGTGGCGACCCCCTCCGCGGGACTCGAGCGCGCGGTCCGCAGGCCCGTTTGCCTCTGGTTTGAGAACCCGCGCGGACTTGGCCAGACCCTGCCGCCACCTTGTAAAACTCCGTGCCCTGCTCGGGTCGCGTTTGAGATGGCAGCGGCCCCGAGCTGACCCGGGCGGAGGTCCTCGAGGACTGGGCCCTCCCAGTCACCACCCCCCGCCTGGAAGTTCCAGCCGCACCCCAGGGGATCCCGGCCAGAGGTTCCGTGTGGAATTGGGAAGACACTGCCGAGAAGTTAGGGGAATCCTGTGTGAGCCCGGCGGGGATCAGGGGTCTCTGGGTGCGATTCTGACTTCCCCGCCAAACCAGGTCGTGGCACCTGGGTTTGAGATTGGAAGTAAGGCGCAGTGTTGGTGGAGTGGGGGAAGCTGGGTTCGCAGTGTTGAACCAGTTGGGACCAGTTGGGACCCAGACTTTGGATAAATGACTCAACCTATCTGAGCCTCAATATGCCGACCTCTAAATAGGGCTGGCACCACCATATGGGAGTGTCAAGTGTGGAAGTACACAGTGTCCCTGTGACTTAGTCTCCCCAACAAATTATGATCCCCTTCCTAACCTGCCCTTTCACAGATAAGTAAATTGAGGTCTAGAGATAGGTACTATCTTTCCCAGTGACATATTCTTTCAGTAAACTGCTGAACACCCACTGTGTGCTGGGGACCCACTCTGTGCTGATGTCAAAACCAAAACCCTGGTTTCCCACCCCCCACACTGCCAACACTTGGCTCAGGCCCAGTTATGAGAGGAACTGCCTCTATAGGAGTCAGGCACTCCTGTTAGTGATAGGTGCTTCAATTAACCCAGAGTTTTCTAGGTTCTTCCAGCTTCTGGCACTTCCAGATGGAGCCAACCTGGTGAACCTGCAGATACCCTGGCCATCCTTCAGACGCCTCAGTCCACTGTGGCTGTATTCCCACTCCTAAACCCTCTTCCCTAGAATAGATCTTCTCATTACACATGCCTCCAACTTTGGCCCAGCAATATTCTTCCTCAACCCAATCCTTCCCTCAAGATCCTTTTTCAGCCCCACTTTTTCCAGGAAGAGGACCCGGGGCCAGTTTTCTAAATTCAGGTATCCTATAGAAGTGAGTTTGAATTTTTCAAAGAGGAAGGGATTCTTATCTTGTCCTCAGGTCTTCATTTTATAGATGAGGAAGCTGAGGCCCAAAAAGATGACAAATGGGGATGCCTGGCTGGCTCAGTTGGTGTAACATGTGACTCTTGATCTCTGGGTCCTAAGCTTGAGCCCCATGTTGGGTGTAGAGATTACTTAAAAACACAAAAACAGAACAGGGTCCACTATTGACCCTCATCACTATTTTTCTGTGACATGAAGCTGATGATTTTTAAAATAATTTTTATTACTTTTCTGGTGATAAGAGCAATACACGCTTATTGTTGAATAGTTGTAAGCTACATAATAGTTTAGAAAACATTTTGAAATCTGGAGAGCAACATTTTTAATATTTCCCTCTGTTTTTTTTGTCCGGGCCTATTTTAAAAAACAAAACTGCTGAACAATTTAAATACTCCTTTTCCTCTGAAATTTATCACAAACATTTCTTTTAAGTTCTTTAGTTTTGTTTTGTGTTTTTTTTTTTTTTTTTTAAGTAGGCTCTGGGTGCCTGGGGTGGCTCAGTGGGTTAAGTGTCTGACTTTGGCTCAGGTGTGATCTCAGTGTCTGCATAGCATCTGACTCCCTGCTCAGTAGGGAGTCTGCTTCCTCCTCTCCCTTGCCCCTCCCCCTGCTCATGGCTCTCTCTCTCTCTCTCTCAAATAAGTAAAATCTTAAATAAATAAATACATACATACATACATACATAAAGTAGGCTCCACACCCAATATGGGGCTCAAACTCATGACCCCGGGGTCAAGAGTGGCATGTTCTACCAAATGAGCCAGCCAGGCACCCCTCTTTGGTCATAATTTTGAATGATTGCTTAACCCCTATTGGGTGTGCCAGAATTTAACTCATTTCTTGTTAGACATTTACATGATTTCCAGTTTTCTTTTTTTCTTTTTTTTTTTAAGATTTTTATTTATTTGTCAGAGAAAGATTTAGAGCACAAAGTAAGGAGAGAGGCAAGCGGAGCAGGCAGAGGGAGGAGCAGGCTCCCCGATGAGCAAGGAGCCTGAGGCTGGACCGGATCGCAGGACCCTGGGATCATGACCTAAACCGAAGGCAGATGCTTAGCCAACTGAGCCAGCCACCCAGGTGTCCCTTTCTTTTCGCTTTCATAAGAAACACCTTATATTCAAATTCTTAATGCCTCTGAAAGCTTTATGTGTGACCAGACCTTAAGCACTTTAGGGGCAACAACTTACTCCCCTGTATGTCGATTGTCCTGGGAATGGGAGAATCTCTGACCCCAGAGGGATTTGAAGGTCATATAAATGCAAAGCTCCCACCCAGCCTGGCATGAGTATCCATCAGTGCCCGGTTGGAGTTGGGGTTGAGGCAGATGGGGCCAAAGAGAGGAGTTTGGGGTGTACCAGTCCGGCAGACTGCCTGGAGGTTGGGAACTAGTATCTTTGTCTTACCCAACTGTGACCTAGTAGCCCATCATCTAATAGCCTTTTCAGTGCCCTTCTTTCCCAGTGTTCAGCTCCACATCACCTCTGAAATTCTCACATTTCTGTTCCCTTTGCCTGGAACTATCCCCTCTTTCCCAGTTTCCTGATCTTTCTGATTGTTCTCAGAGTGCCTCCTCTGTGTCCTCTTGAGCTTGGGAATTCCTTATCTTCCAGTCTTACCTACCAGATGGGAAAATTTCTGACTCTGAGCAGTGCTCACAAGCCCTGCTAAGTGAATAGACTTACCCTCGATTTCTGCAGCCCCCTTACCTCTAGCAGAGAGCTTGATGAGAGATGGGCATTTGCAGTAGTAGGTTTCCATAAATCTTCATTGAAATGGTACTGAGCCATTCCTGGGGCCTCTAGGTTATCTGGTGCCTGCCCCTTTCTCTCTGGTTTACTGTACATACATTATGATTTGATAGTTCATTCCTAGGGTAAGGGAAAGAGCCAGATGTCCTTACTCTTGAGAAACACTGCCTGGGACCTGGCATCCTGAGTGTAGGGCAGGCTACTTCCAAGTAGGCCTCCCATTCTAACTCCACCTTCCCTACTTTCGGGAAAGCCTGTGTGATAAGAAGGCAGGTAGAGAGGGTGACCTTGAGGCCCAAAGGCTAGGATGTATCAGAGGTATTTTTCTTGGCATTTATAGGTTTAAGCTCCACTTAGGTACAAGAGGTCTCAGGAAGAGGAGGCAGGATGCTGGCACTTACAAATGCCTCCTACTCCAGGCAGTGAATATGTCTTCTCATCCAATTCTCCCATTGTTCCCGCTATCCCTAGTTATAGATTAGAAAACGGGCTCAGAAGTATTAAGGGGAACTCACCTAGCTACTGGTGGATGGCATAGGTGGCCAGAAAAGCACCAAGCAGCCCTGTGATGCGATTTTGATCTGGTGACCTTGGACAAGTTACCAGCTCAGTATCAATCAGTTCATCAGTAAAATGGGGATACTAAGACATAAGTTCAGGGATGTGTTATGTAAGACAAATAACCTCATGGGAAGCTCTTGGGGTTGTGATTATTGCCTGTGGTCCTGCTGCTAGTTTAAAGGTCAAGGTCAGAATGGTGTAGGTCAAGATCAGAGACTGGGCCATTTCAGGCCCAAGTTTCTGAGCTCTGTTTTCTTGCCTCCCTTACTCTGGGCCACATAGTAACCTAAATTGCAGGATTGCAGGTTCAAATCCAAGGCAAACTGTATTTCCAAAATGCCGATGCCAGAAGACCTAGGTTTGAGTCCAGGTGACCATAGCAACCTGTGTGACCATGAGCAAGTACTTTACTTTCTGAGGCTTTT